AAATTATTCATCTGGACATATTGCTATCAAAGTGTGACTTCTGGACCACTCTGGGTCCCCAGGTCCTCTGCAGGTTGTCTATGAAGTCTTTCCTTTCGAACATCTATATTTCAACCAAAACTGCATATCACAACAGAGTGAAGATAGGAATGCATCTGAGAATCCAATTTTCTTCTGTTAAGACAGATATTAAAGAGATTTGTAAAAATATATATAATTCCTTCTCTCTCTCTCTCTCTCTCTCTCTCTCTCTCTCTCTCTCTCTCTTTGAGACAGGGTCTCCCTGTAGCTCTAACTGGCTAATCACTCACTATGTAAATCAAACTGGCTCTGAACTAACCTTTTTTTTTGATCCTCCTGCCTCTGCTTCTTGAGTGCTGGGATTAAAAGCATGCACGACCATATCTGGCATCTACTCCATAATTTTTTTGGTTTGGAAAAATAGAATCATTTGTCTTAAAATATGTTAATTATTTTAACATGTACTGTTTTTGTCATTTAAAAATAAATGATGTCACTGGGTGTGGTGGCGCATGCCTTTAATCCCAGCACTCGGGAAGCAGAGGCAGGCGGATTTCTGTGAGTTCGAGGTCAGCCTGGTCTACATAGTGAGTTCCGGGACAGCTGGGGCTACAGGGAGACCCTGTTTCAAAAAGATCAAAAAATAAAAAATAAAAAAAATGATGTCCTAAATCAAATTCTCCATGTATAATATAGTAGATATTGGTAAATAGAAATGACAGAAATATGAAATCTTTGAGAATTTTAATAATTCTTCAGTCTGAAAAGACCATCTGAAACTGAAAATTTGAGATACCCGATTAGATAATGGATTTGCTTATGTAAAACTTTGTACATGTAAGTTTAATGGATAAAAAGTAGAATCAGTATGTTTTGGTCCCTGTGGCAATATAGAGAGACTAGGGTTATATTTCACAGTATTGTCCTAGGTGTGATCCTTTCCCTCATGGATTTTGGTTTCTTGTGGGGTGAGGAGCTTCTGTCCCACTCCTACATTATTTCCCACTCTCTATTATTAACAGCATGTTCTCATTGTGCACTCCTTGAAAAATTGTAGTGGTTCAGTTTACTGGAGCCACCTGATAAAAGGAACAAAAATCCTAGGCTGTACTTTAAGTGACACTCAGGGGAACTGAGGGTTCCAGTATGAGCTCTGCCTAGGACAATGAACCAGTTCTTGCTGTACTGTGAAATTACCTTATCTGTGTTCATCTGGCCACTTTGTCCTTTAAGACACTTTGCAGAGTTGAATATTATCTAGCAGTCACATATGCATAGCACATCCACAGGGAATTAGGAAACTGTGCACACCATGCTTCTGTAATCACTTATTGATGAGCTTAAAGACACACACCCTTTGCAGTGTCATCAAGCCTCCAGCTTTACCTTCAGAACCAGAGGACTGCAGCAGGCAATGTCTAGACATGGCTTACTTGTAAGTGGAAGAATAATTTTTAAAGGGCTCTTTTGTACTCAACAATCAGGCTAACTAACATAAAAAATGGAAAGTGAAAAGGTCAATTGTTTATCCAGAAATTTTCATTTATGACAGTGGTTACAGAAAGAGTATAAGTGTGATTGATGGGTCTCCCCAGAACCTATTTTATCAAAATATTGAATTGGTAGGAACAGCAACATGTGCCCTACGGCAGGAAGCAGATCCAACCATAGCTTCAATTCTCTGTAAGATCAAGGCCAGCCTGGTCTACATAGTGAGTTCCAGGGCAGCTGGGGCTACAGGAGACCCTATCTCAAAAAGACATACACAACAAAAGTCCTAGTATATAACAGTGACCCCATTAGTAGGCTATGAAAAAATAGTTGTGAACAAATGGATATCACATTAAAGGCATTTTGAAAAAAAATTCTACCTCTGTTAACAAATTTTAACATTGCACCTCTGAAAATAGATCTATTTTATGATGTTTATCTTGTGGCAAAAAAAGATTGCAAAAGTAGATTAAAAGTAGACCATCCTGGCTAAGTACAGGTCTGGGCAAAATAAACTAGGAAGACGGGGTCATGTAAACATATTCGATGTCTGAACTCATCTTGAATCCTCATATATGCAGAGCACAAGCATTACACACTAATCTTCATGGGCATAGCAATAGCATGCCAACCAAGAACAGGGTGTCCCACTGAAGTTACACAGGAAATGAGGTGCAATGAGGTCTGTTGCAGCAAGCTTTTAGAACAAGGCTAAATGTTTCTTGAGGCAACAAGGATAAAAAATTCCCTTTGTTTCAAGCCATAAGGGAGTTATCATAATCGTTACTAGAGAGTTCAAGTGTCAAACTCAACACTGTGCTACAACGAAATAAGCTTTCCCCAATTTTCATTGTGATACTAGTTTTAAAAATTAGTACATAAGGTATTAGTATCATTATGGCATTTTCAAACCAAGTGTGTTTCCGTAGATTCTCCGTCCCCCTGATTTCTCACCTCGTTACCCTCGATTCCTTATAACACCTCCAGTCTCTTTTCCTCTTTCATATCCGATGTATGAAAGATACATCACAACACACACACACACACACACACACACACACACACACACACACAGAGTACAGGATCAGATCCGCAGATGATAGAGAACATGAGAATTTTGTCATTTGAGTTTGGGTCATCTTGCTTAATATTATATACTTTCCTTATCCATCCATTTTCCCTGAAAATTTCATTTTTCTTTACAGATAAATAAACAGGTTTCTAATCTCTGAGCTAACATACTTTAATGTTGTAAGGAATTGTCTTGTCAACAAAGACAGAATGTTCCTGGTTAAGTGAGTAGGGCTATTTTCTCCCTTTGGGGGAATCTACACAGTGATTTTAATTATAACAATTCATTTAACTTGGAGATTTAAGGCAGCTGGATATTAGGAGCATAGCCTTGGGAAGACACCAAACCCCTCCCCTCAAGACAAAAAAAAAAAAAAAAAAAAAGACAGCCAAGTATTTATGTATAATGAAGCTCTCTTGTGACAGTGAAAACAATTAGATAATTTCAGTGTCAGTGATATGCTAGTTGAGGAAGAACAAAAGAGCAAACAGAGATGCAATAGCCAACAGCTATGGGAGTCAGCTGATCCGACAAGATTCTGACACCAAGGTTGACTGACAATGAGGTAAAACTCAGTTATCTCCAGAGAGCAGACAAATTGTATTCTGGTTTTTTCCTCAAGCATAGCTACAGATAGCTCCATTTAAAAGGCAGACATTGTTCACACCTAATTTTCATCACTGAGGAGGATCCCTGGAAAGCACCTATCATTATACCAGGTTACAGACCAGTGACAAGTCCTTCTTCACCACAGCATCTCTATAATGTTGTATTTCCAGAGTGGGAAACCTCTAACCTAGGAAGACTTACAACAACTGTGATCACAGAAAACATTACCCCTTTTAATGTACTGAGCGGAGGCATTTCCACCTAAAAGAAAATCATGAAAGTGAAAATAACTTAATTGAATTAATTAAGAACCACTACTATCAAACTTAAAAGTCTATTCAACCAAGAAGAAAAAATGTTATCCAGTTTATATAAGTTCAATTGGTTGCTATCTGATATACAAGAATTATCACAATGGGAAGAAAAATAAGTTCTGAACAGTTAAAAATATACAGCAACTACATCTCACTGATTAAATCTATATCCTTCACTTTTATAATTTTCCAGTTAGTTAACTATGGTATCTTTTGCATTCCACCAATCAAATAACACATCAACTCTTATAATTTGATAGAGTAAAAATCAAATATCAAATCTCTCATTTGATATGGGTAGGAAGACACACAAAGAAAAGTGCAATTTTATCCAAACAACTGTCACTCCAACCATTCTGTGAACAACTTCCTAGAATCCTGCCACATCAGCAGAGGGCACACGAGCCTAAAGTGCAGAGTTTGTAAAGGAAGCTCAGTGGTTGATGCTGGATCTTGCCTTCCATTTCCAATGAAGCTCCTAGAATTCCTTATATGACTACTGAGCCTAATTCTTTAGCCATATCTTAAAACTACAATGCTTTTAGAAGAACTAGTGATATGCATATAGCTATATGTGTGCTGTCACTTATTGTAAGAAACAAGAGCACTAAAAAATTTCTGCAGCTTTCCAACATTCTCTTGTCATTTTAATATGCAGTTGCTTATTAAAAGCATTCTTAAACAATTATCAATTTACAATATTTATATGTTATATCCAAGAGAGATGGGATTTATGCAAGTTCCAATCTCACACCTCTCAGTCTTTCAAAATACCTATTCAATGAAATCTTTTTCTGGATTTCAAATCAATAACCTAACAGGCTTTCCAGGATACATTCACTAGTAACCACATGACACAGGTTTTATATTTATATTATGTTTGGATCAATGTTCATGATTTGATCAGAACAGGAGCAGGTGCACATAAAAAAAAATCTATGCAATGAGAGATTTGTCACACTCCACTCTGAGAACTATATTTGGACAGTGTACATTTCGAAGTGTTCATGATATCACATTAAAGTGCTACTAAATAGGAACAATTACAATGGATTAACACATGCCTCAAATTAAAAATGTAAGTGAAACATAGAGCTTCAAATATATATGAACAGACACACGTGCGCACACACACACACACACACACATATAAACACACACCATAGGAGTATGAATAACAAAGTGTTTCCTGTGTCAGGTTTACAGTTTGAAGGAAAGAGGAAGAACAGATTCCTCTGGAAGTGTGTTCACACTACTCTCCATCTCCTAAACACATCAGCCTAATTCCTTTCTCTCTGCTCTATCAACATCTTTGTCCCCCACCTCCACATTCCACACCCTGAACCATCCAGGGCATGTTAATTATGTAGCAAAACAAGAGTCTTACATAGTCCTGTTCTATGTAATTCCTTAAAAAACAAACCTGCTGTAGACCTCCCAGCACAGAGAAGTTCTTCAGTCTGACAAATTATAAACTGGAATTGAAAACTTACCATAAAAAGTCAATTGCCCCTTTGCTACATTTTTCCCTCTGGAATTTTCAGCCACACATTCATATGAACCAGCATCTTCCTGCTGAAAATTAGGTATTTCGAGGATTCCATTTGACTTGTGTCTTCTGGCCTTCCTTGCTATTGGCTTCCCATCAGCTCTTCGCCACAGAATAGTTGGGACTGGGCTGAGAGCAAGAATGCAGTGAAATGAGAGATTAGAGAAAGCTCTGCCTCTTATTTGAATCTATGCTAGCAACCCCTTTCTTATTCATTCAAAATGTATAAAGTCATTAGCAAATTCCCCATATTTCATTCCTATGTTACTATTATTTTAACAAATTCTAACCACAATGTTAGCATTATTGACTGCATGCTTTTCTTAAAATCAAATATTTAAAAAATTATTTTTAGGTGTATGAGTGTTTTGCCTTGCATGTATACTTGCAAGTGTACCATGTGCATGTAATGGGCACAGAGGACAGAAGAGGGTGTAGGAACCCTGGGAACTGTAGTTCCAGAAGATTGTTAGTTGCCATGTGGGTGCTGGGAACCAAACCTGGGTCCTCTGCAAGAGCAAATGTGCTTAACCACTGAGTCATCTCTCTATCCCCCTAATCAATTTTCTTAACATTAAACAATGCAATTACCCTCATATGCATTATTACCATAGAAATAAAAGCATATTTTTATAAGTTCTTTTTATTTTTTCCTTACATATGTCGGTTTTCTAAATTAAAAATATTAAAATAAAAGTTTTCAAGCACTTATGTAGCAGAATTAAGATGAATGTAATTTCCTACATATTTCTCCCATGGAGATGAGGTCCATGATTCCTCTCTTTAAGTTGGGCTATTTGACTTCTTTGACAAAGAAAGCAGGCAGAAGTAATGTTGGGTCAGTTTTCAGGTTCAGCATTAAGCAATAGATAGCTTCCATGCTTTCTCTTGGAATACTTTATTTGAGGCACCTAGGAGGAGTTTGACTACGCCTTGAGACTACCAAGCAGAGGAAGCCCTCATGGGAGGTACTTGTAATAACAGACCCAGTCAGCCTGGTAATCCAACTGTGCCACCAAGACACCTGAAATGTGATACTCTCTTGAGGTCTCTGTACCAGCTGATCTTCCAGAACGCAAAACACACAAGACCTCATGTCATATTATATGGAGCAAAAGAATCACTTAGCCAAGCCCCATTTGGATTCTTAACCCATAAATTGCGAGATAATGAGATACCAGTTATATTCTTCTAAATGTTGTGTCTGGCAACATGAGTACCATACTCTGAGTTACACCCACATGTTGCACAAATGATAGTAAAAATAATGAGCTCATAAAACTTGGAAAATACAACTTAATTGCTTACATAGAGGAACAGCTCACTCACAGCTCCTTGATCTGGATAACATAGCTATTCTTATTATCATTTATATATTGAGGATGTTACCAATTTACAGCAGTCCATTTGGAAGGTGGTTTGTGGGAACTGTAATTAAAGTAGCAAGATAAAGAAGCAATCTGTAGGGTCTTAATGTACTCTCGTGGTACTTATCATCCTCTTGCCATTCCTGTTTAGAACAAATCTTAAATTGCAAGGAGGCCAGCAACCAGCCTGCAAATCAGTGGTCTTGCAAACTAACCACAGCTTTTAGGATTGTGGCTTCCTAGCAGGGGATACAATTACTTATTTGTTTTTCACAAAAACACTCACAGAGAAGTAACTACACTAAAGACTTGCTAATCTTCTATGGGAAACTTGAGATGGTATTTAAAAAATTAAAGCCATCAACTCAACTATATTTGTTTTAAAATAATTTAAATTCATTAGACAGACACTGGCTCAAAATGTGAAGCACAGGAAAGGCTTCATCAAAAGGGTATCTTTACATTCAGAGAGATATACACTAGTCCATGCCATTAGAAACAACTGTGCTTAAACTAGTCTTTCTACTCTTAAGTGAGTGATGATGGTGTGTTTCCTCAGCTAGATATGCACATCCAAACATTTCTGTATAGATGAGAGAAGCCCAATTTTTGTCTTTTGTTTTTATTCTAATGCCATTGAAGCATTGTGAATAGACTTTAATTCATTGTTCCTTTTCAAGTGTGAGCAAGTGAATTTTGCTTTCTCCAGGGAAGGTTATTAAAGTGATGACTTGCAAAGTTCATCAAATACAACCCCTGACAATCCAGTCACCCACCTTCTCCCCAGTTGATTCTGTACATATAAAGAAAAACTTTAAAATTTTCAGCTATGACCACATTACAGTGTGTTCAATCTGCTTTTATTCTGAGCAATAAATCATTACTGTTTTCTGTTTTGCATGTGGTTTTACAGCTTGCCTTTAATGTCTGCACAGTGTTCAATCCTGTAGCTCTATCACAATTTACATAACATGGCGAGTTTTCAAAAGATAAAAAATGACTATTGTATTTAACTGCACCAAAGTAGTTTGCATTGCCACAAGTGAAAACAAAGAGAAACCAGCTCCATTAGAGCTGAGAACAAAATTGAGAAAGCAAATATCTATAAACCTGAAAAACTTCACTGAAACATTGTATGGCTATAAGGACTGAGCAAGAGCCAGTATTGTGGCTTTAGTCAATATTGAGGCACAGAAAAAAACGTATAGAATTATGGGTAACTGGCTAGAGGGGGCTGTGAGAAGAGGCAGACATGGGCCATTAAAACCCACTGATAGGTAAAGAAGAGCGGATCTTTCTAAAACAAAGGACTCTAAATAGGCTGACTAGACCTCAGTGGACAGACTTGCACTGGGGAACGGCTGGGGACACTAATGACACAGTGGGCCTTAACAGGGATGACACAGTATGTTGGCTTCAGTGGGATGGGGGAGCTATGGGAGGGTGCCAATAGGGACAGGGGTATAAAGATGATTAAGATTGCTTGAGATAGTCTGTATGAAATACACAAAAAATTCAATAAAAACAAAATTTAAAAAAAATCCACAGGTCTCAATGTTCTCACTTCCAACGGTAGTGTATACTGTTGATGCCAAAAGATTCCTGTTGGTTACTGGCACACAAAAATCCTAAATGATCTTATGCCCTCTGGCACATACACTCTGGGAAGGTTAAGGTTCCCAAGTAAGCTCTTTTAAGTGCAATCCAGACTGAATAATAAAGTTGTGAATAATTTTCAGACCACTCTAAAACAGATTCTCTCACAGAGAATAGCAGTTCTTCCCTATCACCAGTCAAAGTAGAGGGGAGTCCAAATTAGAGAGACCTAGTGGCAATTTAAAAGGAAATTCAAGAAGAATTTGAATGTAAATGGGGCCAGAACGGAAGTCCACATTTTTCCAAATAGCTTGCCTGTACCTCAAATGAAAGCTATTGTTTTCCTGTCATTCTGGGTTAGACTGCATGCACATTATAGGTCATAATAATAGAACAAAATACTTTTTCAGAATTGCCCACTCTGCTCTCCTTTGTGGCCATGTCAATGGTGGCAGCCCAATCCTTCTGGAGCCATTACCTGTCTCTCTCCATGGACAGAGGGCAGAATCAAAGATGCATGTGCAGAATTACAAAGAGAAAGACTTACTTTTCAGTCTTCTTGGAAACCATCGCTGAGAACATGGAAGAAAATTCTATACCTGCCCAAGCTGAAGGGAGGACAAACAACCAGGACTTACTTTCCCAAGGCAAAGCATTCCAGCTTGACTGTGGTTCCTTTCTCGGCTGGGACTGTTTCTGGAAACTGCACTTCTATTTTGGGCTCATATTCACCCATTACCCCTGTGAACAGACAAAGGAGCCAAGTCTCAGATTTTTTTCGTGGTGTACTTAAGTGTTTTCTGTCAATATAGAGTACTCCCATACGTTGTTATGTGCCCAATTATTTCCTCCATTTGCAGCAGGCTCTATTCTAACACCCATGAAACTGGATCTGCCAGAGAAAAATCTGTATCACAATGTGACACCATCTGCCTAGGATTAAATTCTTCATGCCTCCCGGAAATACTTTTAAAAGGTAAGGTAAGTTGGTTGGGGTGGGGGGAGAGAAGAATAATAAATTCCTAGTCACCAGGAAAATTAACTTTATGGAAACATTTAAACGTTTAAAAAATTAAAACATTAAAAAACACTTTGAAACAAACATACATCTTTTGTGATGCCCACGTACAGAAACAACTTCTGAGTCGTTCTATGACCACAATCTTTATTCACTTCTAAGGATAATCTGAATTAATATAAATAAGTATATAAAAGGGGGCATCAGAAGCCTGTATTTTGTATTTTCAGCCCGTGAAAATGAACGGTACCTATAGTAAGTAATTTTAACCCCATACCTGTCATGACAGTAAAGTGCTTACCTTGACAGTCGTACTCATCCACATCCTGAAACAGGACTGCAGTGATGGCCAGTCATAACTTAGCACTCTATGTCTATGCTTTTTAGCTAAAACATAGCAGTACTGTTTTGACCCATCTTCTACAGTTCTAATTGGTTTAATGCATTACTTCTTACTTGATTTCTGATCATTTCCCATATTTATTGATTAATTGTTCTGATAAAGAGCTTAGAATGATCTGGTTTACTACAAAGTGATAGGTCTTGCCAGTTCGTCTCTCATTTAGGCTTTTCATAGTCATAAAGAAAATAAAGGATTCAGAAGAAAAGATTAACAACGAGGAATGGACAGGCACAGGTGCAGTAACAAAGAGAGATGATTTTACCCTTTTTTGCAAACTCTTTTCATGTGCTGTTTCAGAAACTGAGAAGCATCAAAAAGATCTAATCTGTTTGTGGGGAAAAATCCTCAGCCCTATGAGTTAGATATTCACAACGTTGCCAGTATTGCTATGAGCTTTTGTCAAAAGGCCAAGTTGAATATAGTCATGCTGTTGTTGTTTGTTTCTGTTTTCTTTTCCTAGAATATTAGAGTATTTGATTTGGAAAGGACTTTGAGATCATTTTTCCAGTGTTCTTAGCTGGGCATTCCTGGGTGCATACTTCTGAAAGTGGGGACCATAATTAACATCCTACTGAAGCAAGTGATTGAAGGACTTCTTCAGCCTCAAAAGGATAAAACTGCCATTAAAACCATTCTTCCTTTAACAAGTGAGGCTGTAATCTTGAAGGAGTTAAACGGCTTGTTTTCAGTCCCATACCTAACTAGTTAATGTTCAGGGTTAAACATAGAGCTGAAGTCTTCATTTTCATCGTACCATGGTCCTTCTTCGCTGAAATGTCTAATGCTGTCAAACTTAACTAAAATACACCAAATCCACATTTGACTTGTTCACATACAAAATCATTTCCCTTTTTGTTGATTCTCTGCTATAATTCCTCTTGCACCTACACTTGATTGCCTCCCTTTGAGCATTTGCACAAAGCTGACTTGGTAATGGTGTGGTGCATACTAACAACAGCCTTCGCACACAGCTGCTGAACTTGCTAACAAACAGTCTGTACAGTTGAGTCATCATCCCAGAAATATCAGTAGTATGACTCCAAGCGCAGTGAGCAAGCTAACACCTTTTAGTGCTATGTATGTGGCTGCATTCTCTTAAGAGTGGTGTTAATTGAAAAAAAAAAAAAAAAAAAAAAAAAAAAAAGAGTGCCTTAAGAGGAAGAGGTATTTGTCATCCCAGGAAATCAAGACAGTTTGCACTACAGTATATGATGTGTTGAAAGGAGATGAGACAATACGGTTAAACAAGGGCCAAGAATGTCTTAGAAGTCATCAGGTTTGTCCCTGGACTTTCTCTCTATTGCCATTACATGTACATCATGTTTCTTTAATGAAGCGATGAGGATTGTATCTCATATAACTGTGTTCTGAGCAACTGAAGCACCACAGGAGATGCAGACTCAATGACCATTCCCTGGCTATTTCCCCATCCTACAGATCCTACCTATTAGGGTGTGAGCTGGAAGTCGCCTCTTCCGGGATTGCTACATACGAGCCCCCTCCTCTTCTCTGAATGCCCTACTCTGTAACCACAGTGGTTTTTAAATGACCCAAAAGAATAAAAATATCTTGTACTTCATTTCTGTTTCCAAGGCATTTAAAATAACTTTTTTGATATATAACTTACCCACTAAAAATTCACTGATCTTAGGGGCATAAGTCAATGATTTTTAACAAGTTTGCTTATCATGTCAAAGTCACCACAATCCAGTGTTAGAACATTTCTGTCACCCAATAAGATCTGTGATGCCCATTCACAGTTAATTCCTAGCCCAGTCCAGCCAGAAGCAACTTCTAACTAGCTTCCTGTGCATTGCCTGCTCTATGTATTTCATATGAAAGGAATTATATAATATGTGTTCTTTTGTGCCTGGCTTCTTTCAAACATGGCTCATTTTCAAGGCTCATTCACATTGTAGCATATCAGAGCTCTGTTGGACCTGATGCAAAACAGAATTCCACTGTGTGAATATAACACATTTTATTTCTAATATAAAAATTTGTATTTGTTTCCTAGTGCTCCTATAACAATATGCCACAAATTGAGTGGCTTAAAGGAAAAGCAATGCATCCTCCTACAGTTCTGAAGGCGTGGACAGGTCCACACTCTGAGACATGGGATCTGTATCTTTGCTTCTTCCTAGGTTCTGCTGGTAGCTGGCAATCTTTAATGCTTTTTTGCTTGTAGTGGTATCATTCTAATCTCTGCCTCTGTTGTCCTCTTAATCCATATGTCTTCTTAAGGACATATGGATCAAGTGCCATCCTACTCCATGAAGACTTCATCTCAATTATTGTACCTACAACAACCCTATTCTTAGTAAGACCACATTCTGAAGCTCTGAGGGGAGGGCTAGGACTTCAACATTCCTTGACTGATGAGCATGTGGGTTGCTGCTTTTGTCAACCACTGCCTGTGACACTTCAAGGAGTCCTCACATGCTTGGTGTGGTCCTGTTTTCACTAGCCTTTTGCTCTCAGATTTCCACATAGAGGACTGCTTCATGCTTACGTCTTCCCCGAAATGACTCCACTTCTTAGTTTCTGATCAGTCTACCTAAAATCCACCCCATTCTACTAACATTCCATTTCCTTCATGCTGCTTATCACAATTTCAGATCTTCTATTTGTTCACATGTTCAGTATCTGTCTTTCATCCAGACCAGACAAGAAGGCAGATACCACTAAGTGGTATAGCCATCTTTCTGAACTTGTATTCCTGTCTTTGATTCCAATCTCTTTTTAAAACATCCCACCTTGTACATGGTTAGCAAGTGCTCTACCCCTGATCGACATCCCCAGCCACCTTCATGCTTTTTGTTTTTGGTGTGTGTGTGTGTGTGTGTGTGTGTGTGTTAGCTGCCAAGTCCCATGCCCCAACTCCCATTATCCAATTACCAGTTCAGTTTACTAATGAGGACTCTGTAAGTATGGGTTATGACCCCAGCATAGCATGTCCTCTGGGAGCCACCTGTCTTCTGGGGTTTAGATACGTGGTAGAGTCTTTTGCAAATGATGCTGCTTACACAATATCTTGGGAGGGTAGATAGAGACAGGATGTTTTTAAAGTAATGAAAATTATATATATATATATATAGAACTGAACATTTAATAAAACTTGCTTTTTATCATGAGACTTCTGAGACTGAAAATTTTTTTCTTTATTATTTTTATTTATAGGTATGAATGTATTGCCTGCATGTGTTTAAGTGCATCAGTATCATGTAATGCCTACAGAAGCCAGAAGAGGGCATCAGAGCCCCTGGAACTGGAGTTATAAATAGTTATCACCTGTCATGTGTGTACTGGAAATGGAACCTGGGTCCTCTGCAAGAGTAACCAGTGCTTTTAACCATCTCTCCAACCCCTGATTCTAATAAGGCATCTATTCCATAGCATATTAGATCTCATGGAAGGTTGAAAATCTTTTAAACCAGAAGCCAGAAGAGGGCATCAGAGCCCCTGGAACTGGAGTTATAAATAGTTATCACCTGTCATGTGTGTACTGGAAATGGAACCTGGGTCCTCTGCAAGAGTAACCAGTGCTTTTAACCATCTCTCCAACCCCTGATTCTAATAAGGCATCTATTCCATAGCATATTGGATCTCATGGAAGGTTGAAAATCTTTTAAATTTTTTATGTATCCTTCAATAATCCTTTCTTAGTACCAACAATATGAAAAGGGAAAGTAAGATGAGAAGGAATGTGTGGCAAGAGGGAAAAGATGGAGGAATCGAGGCCTTCATGCTATAGCCCATAATAGTTATTAAACGACAAATGCACTTCTTTCTGGCCATGGAAATCATTTACTACGTATCCTGGTGGTTATAGTATGAGCTTATTTTTACTAAAATGAAATGTATAGGTTGTTTAACGGGTCATATGGAATAATTCCTTGGTTTATAGAGCAATCCATATTTACAGCTATGTAAATGTGAAGTCATCAGCAATATAGATTGATCTGAACATAGCAGTAGTTACAGTACGTAAAGATGGTTTTTTACTGCATAAGAACTTTCAGAGTCCATAATGAATAACCTCATCTTAGCATCTTTCTTCAACTATATTGTAAATAATATTTTGAGACCACCTGTGAAGTGCTCCATCTACATTGGGCTACATCAGGTACAACAGGTGTATTTTTATTGGACAATTTCTTTTATTCTATTTTGGCCTTTCTTCCCAGATCAAATGTAAAATCAGTTGCCTTTCTATTTTGTGAAAAACAAAAGGCAGCTTATAACAGAAGCACATCTTTTGAGGCTGTTTCTCTGACCACCTGTACACTTTTGAATGTAATTGGTCTACAGATGCTCTGG